AAAATATTATTTTTTCCTTTCTTTTATTTTCATGTATCTAAATAAAATTAACATTAACTTTTTTCTTCTCTTCACTTCTCCTTCTCTCCTCCCTCCCCTTCGTTTGTTTTGTTTACAAAATTTTATCAAAACAAACGCTTTAAAATACACTTAATAACTTTTTCACTAATTTTTTCTATACAAAAATTAAGAGTAATTGTTAGGCAAGAAATGAAACATCTCAAGAAAATTATTAAACTTCACAGTGATTATTAACTTTATTATACAGTGCCTATTAACTTTTAGAACACCACTTTCTGTGATGCCCAGAAAAGTTAGTCCTCTATCCTTTATTATACAGTACTTATTAATTTTTCCTATACAAAAATTAAGAGAAGTTGTTAGGCAAGAGATGAAGTGCACATTTTTGGGTCACTGGAGTTTTTAATAGAAATTTTGTTGGAAATAAATTGTCATAAAAATATTTTTTTTGTAAATAAAAAAAATAAAATAAAAATAATGTTTTAATTTCATTAAAATTCAAATAAAAAACTCTTGTAGAGGCACCAAATTAGTGCTTATGAGATTTGTAATAAAAAAAATGAAATACTAACTTAAAAAAAATTATAATATTTTTCACAAATTATAATATTTGATGCATCTAAAATTTTTAAAATTCAAAAAAACTTTCCACCATCTATGCCAACATAACCGAAACATCTCATGAAAATTATCAACGTATTTCACAGTACTTATTAACTTTATTATACAGTGCTTATTAACTTTTCAAACACCACTTTCTGTGATCCTAGAAAAGTTAATCCTCCGAACAGTCCTAAAACTAGAACAAAATTCAACGTTTCATTTCAATAATTGTACTGAAATTACATAATGATCAAAAAGAAAGAACAAAGGAGGAAAATTGTTACCTAAAACTTAAGGCTTCCCTCTTCTATATATCCGTGAGTCTTTCCTCTTCTTCTATCCAGAAATTAAGAGAAGAAGACTTTTTTTTTTTTGGCTGTTTGTAATCCTCTATCAAACCCAAAAAGATCCCCCGAACTTCTGAAAGAAACCCCTTTCTCTTACGGAGACACAGAAACTCTTGAGGCTGTTTATATAGAGTGGAGGAAGGTTTTTATTAGAGAAGTAATTTAAAAAATATTACATGAAATGTTAAAAAGGTATTATATAAAATATTATTAAGTTTTATAATAAAATTTTATTAAATTATTAATTTTAGTATATTTGATAATATAAGAAAAGTAAAGAAAATTATTAAGTAAATTTTACATAGAGATAATTATAGAAAAAAATTTTATAAATCGAGAATTATGTTAAAAAATAGAAATAAAAAAAATTATTTTTATTTTATTTTATTATGATATTAATATATAAAAATATATAAATAATTTTATTAAAAAAATTTAAAAACCTTTTCAACCAAACATTGTCTTCATACCCTCCTACATCCCCACCGTCTCTCACTCGCTGGTAAGTGTACGAACACTGGGGCTGGTCTCCTTTTCGTCTCCTTCAGAGCATATCACGAATATGGGGCAGCCAGGTCGGAAACGGGGCCAGTATTGGCCAGTAGGCATACTTTTGCCTTCGAATCAGATGACCCCCGTGAGCAGAGGACCATTCGGGGCCCGTGACGCGGCCACGTGAGATCTTGTACCTTTGTTGACACAGTGAATAGTTATCCCTCCATCCTCTCCCCTCAACTTCAACCAAACATGCTGTATAAGTACTGTGATTTTTTAGCCATTTTTATGTGATTATGATTGTATTTAGTAGTATAATACGTAGGTTTCGTTTGATAATGATAACGTTCCCTTGATACTTTAATTTTTAATTTTTATATTTTTTATTATTTTAAAAATATATAAAATGTTAATTAAAATAAATATTAAAGATATTTTATATATTTTTGAAATA